ACGGAACCCCCCCAGCGCTTCCCCCCATGAAAGCAAACGCGCGGGTTCCCTAAAAGCTTCCTCCACATCGATCCATGCTTCCCCCAGGAGTTTCTATGCGATTCCCTTGCTTGCAAAGCAACTACTCCATTTATAGCAGATCTTTTGCATCCTGGTTAGAAAGAATCCTATTGTTTGCAAGCTCCCCGCGCTTCCACTCGTGAAAGCACACAAGTGGGTTCCCTAAAAGCTTCCTCCACATCGATCCATGCTTCCCCCAGGAGTTTCTATGCGATTCCCTTGCTTGCAAAGCAACTACTCCATTTATAGCAGATCTTTTGCATCCTGGTTAGAAAGAATCCTATTGTTTGCAAGCTCCCCGCGCTTCCACTCGTGAAAGCAAACACGCGGGTTCCCTAAAAGCTTCCTCCATATCGATCCATGCTTCCCCCAGGAGTTTCTATGCGATTCCCTTGCTTGCAAAGCAACTACTCCATTTATAGCAGATCTTTTGCATCCTGGTTAGAAAGAATCCTATTGTTTGCAAGCCCCCCGCGCTTCCACTCGTGAAAGCACACAAGTGGGTTCCCTAAAAGCTTCCCCCACGTTGATCTAAATTTCACCTAGGAGTTTCTAGCTGACTCCCTACGACTCCCTTGCTTGCAAAACAAGCTACTCCATTCATAGCAGGTCTTTTGCATCCTGGTTAGAAAGAAACCTCTCTACCTCTCTATCTAATCGCGCTTCCATTCGTGAAAGCCCACACGCGGGACTCCTAAAGCTTGCTCCACGCTTCCCCCCAGGAGTTTCTATCCGACTCCCTCGCTCGCGAAGCAGACCGGCGGCTGCAAAAAAAACAAAAAACCCTTGGACTCTCATGCAGAAAGCTCCCCCATCGCCCCGCAGACCTGTAGCCAGCCGCCCTCCCTCGCAGCTCAGCAACTGCCGGTGCCGGTGCAGAGCATCGGCCAACACGGCCGAGTAGAGATGCCCGATGTGGGGCGGCCCGTTCACGTAGAAGATAGGTGTGGAGAGGAGCAGCCGCCGCCGCCTCCGGGACCCGCAAGGACCCCGCCGGAGACCCCCACCCGGATGCTCCGCCAAACCCCGAAGGAGCCCCGGGCGGAGAAAGCAGCGCGCGGCGCGAGCGTGGAACGCCTGCATGGCTTGCATTTGCCCCGGGGACGAACACGCCCCTTCGCTCCTCCGGCCACGCCCCCGACGAGGAGCTAGAACAGAGTGCGGATGCCTAGAGCGGCGCGCCCGCGAGCGAGCGAGCGCGCGCCCCCCGCAAGGGCAAAGCGGGCGAGCGCTGGTGCGCGTGCGCACGAGAGGACGGAAGGACGGCCGTTGAGAGGGAAGGAAGGAGCCGCTGACTGAGGAGAAGCTTGTGAGGACCGCCGCTTGCCGACCCCGTCGTCGTCGTCGTCGTCATGTCCCGCTTGGGAGCCGCCTTGCTGCGGGCGGCGGGCCCGAGGGCTCGTTTCCTGGAGGGCCCAGGTGAGCGGAGCATCGCCGGGAGGGGGACAACCTGAAAAGGTGTGGAGGGGGAGGGGCTTGTCGAGGAGGAGGGGCTTGTGCGGAAGCCCCCCCCNTGCACCCAGACTGATTTCCCATTATTAATTAAATTCCTATGCCACCCATCTCACTACCGAGCAACTCTGAGAGGCTCATGGGATGAAGGAAGCTAATGGAGAGAAACTTTGCATGGCAGCAAGGGAAATGGAATAAACTATCACGATATTAGGACTCAGCACTTATTAGCTGCACCAGACAACTGTAAAAAAACAAGCACAGTGCATGTTCTGTGACGTAAAATTGCACCCTGTGGATCTGTACTTGATATCCTGCCAGACTGTCTCTTCTCTCTTTAGAAGGAGAATCTTCCTCCCAGGACGCTAAAGGTAAGCAAGAGTCCTTAAAAGCAAGCTATGGTGTGTCCCACCACCAACCCGGCTTAAGTCTTAGCCTTTTTGTCGTAGAACACCTGGTGAAAACAAAACAAATTCTTCTTCCACTCTGATGAAGAATCCTGCAGCAAAAGTGGAAATAAACAAGAGCAACGGGGAATTTTACATTTTGCTTCTGTGGGGTTATTAATATTCGTGGACTTTGGACTCTGTGGGGAACTTGGCAAATGCCTAAAATTGCACAAGACCCATCGGCCCTCCCAGCTTAACCATAGCTCAGATAAACTGATCTACAAGGCTTGGCTTTGATTCCTTCCGAGTCCCTTTAAAAGGTGCGTTTAAACTACGAGAATGTCCTCAAAAGATGACCTGTGCACCTATTTAAAAAAATGCACATCGTTGGGATAAATCACTGCTTTAACGAACTCTTTGGAGGGGAGAGATTCTCTTTGTCCAATGTCAGTTAAATCCAAGGATGTCTTTGTAGATCCGGAGAACTTCTGACTGCAGTTTTGTGCATATTGTGTTGCATATTTTGTGCACCTGTGTTGAGCCACTTGCCTGCCTCTCATGCTAACCTGGGTTTTGCCACTGTTGTTGGCCAATTGCTCTGCCAGGAATGCCACTGACTCAGGAAACAGAAATCTCAGCTGAACTCTTCCCATTATTTTAAAGATGTCTAGCCTCACATTTTGTTATTTGCATCCAAAGTCTGTTGAAGTGAGGTCCGTTAATTTAAGCGTTGAAGTGTTGTTCAAACCTTGCGGTATGAACACAACTGAGCCCAAAATGTCTGTTGCCAAGTGAGAAATTTGTTAAGNAAAAAAAATCATTGATTTTTATTCACTCTGTAGCAGGGTTTTGTGGACACTGGCATTTCCTGTCCACCAAGGAAGTTGTATTATCTTCATCCAACTCAGTCTCAGATTGAAACAGACTTTTAAAGGACTGCTGTAGGCTTATGGCAAACGTCTTTATCCCAGCTCAGTTTATTTGGTTCTTGTCATTCAACTTTTAGCACCCAAAGCTGTTTTTAACTTGGAGATGTATAGGCAAGGGAATGGAGGACGAACAATTTTAAAGAAGTGTTCACACAACCGCACTGGAAAGTTTTCTACCTTTCAGAACATAAATTTGCCATTTGTTTGGAGTAGCTTCAGAACAGTTTACATATTTCTATTTATAGAAACTACTGTGCTTTCTTTTCCAACTGATGATGCCTGCTTATTTGTTAGAGATTGAAATATTTTTTATTTGTAAAATAGAGCTATTTTAGTCATAGCAAAATACAAACTTGAAAAAATTGGAGTCTCTCCCCTGCCCCCTAAAGTATTATGGTAAATATTGCCTTTTTGGTTGCACAGGGATATGAAATTATGAGAAGAGCTCGACAGCGTGATGTGGATCGCGCAGAGAGGTACGAACGCATGGAGAGCCAGATGAAGGCACTTAAGCATTAAGGTAAGAATGAAGTGGTAGCAGATTGGCTTTTATAACTTAAATTTGTAGACTTTCAACTCCGAGGCGGAACTCTTAAGTGGCCTTTTGTAGACTAACTATGAAAATTTCCAGGGACTGATAATCTCCAGCAGTAATAAAGCCAGGGCCAATGTTGAAGTGATTCTGGAGTAATTACACCCAGGATTTAGGGATGAAACATTCATCCAAATCTTTCAATAGCAAAATATTATTTTCTTCCCCGTTATTGCTCCTGTGGAAGTTCTTGTAGAATTAATTCCAGCATGATACATTGCAGATTAATTTACAACCATATTTTTTCATGTCGTATGTTTAACTTTGTTTAATCTCACTCCCAAAACACAGGTCTCAGTTTTTATGTTAAGTAAGGACCAATATTCTCTAACCAATCACTCTTCAAATGTGTTGAGCGATCTTTCTCAATTTTATCCAAATCTAAACACTAATAAGGAAGACATGCTATTGGATTCAACAAATGTTAATAAATGTTGATAGGACAGTGTTTTTGATTTTCACTTGAAAGAACTGAAAACTACCATTGTGATATCCCAAAAAACCATGCAGTAATTCTTGATTTTTTGTGAAATTCCTTCAGCTCTGTGAAGCTGCATTACCGAATTCAATTTGCACTAATCTCAGAATCTGTTTTGGAGTACAGAGAGGTTCACTTGTAAGATTTCAGACTAAAGAACAACATGGAAATAGTTCCATTAAGATGAACAAGAACTTTGACCATGGTTATGATTAGGCTGTTCAGTATATATTTACATGCTAATGTTTAATGATATTACATAAGAGTGGCAAATTGCCTTCTGGCTAAATTTAAAAAAACAAACAAACTACATCTCTTGCAGCTTCCAAAATCAGCTTCTATAAAGACTTTGGCTCTTGTATTATTATTTTTTTACCCACTAGTGAGTTTTGGTAGCTTATTTCATTTATCTTGTCCTCCCCCCCCCCCATCTCCCTCTGTGCAATAATTATATATCTGAGATTTTAATAACCTGCCTGTCCAAATGTATCCGCTGTCAGGCAAACACTTTTTATGAAATTTTATCACGCCTTGTGAGAAAAAAAAATCAAGAAGAACTCAGAATTTTATAGCATTCATAAAGTTGAAGGCCCCGTAAGTAAAAATGGCATTTGATCAGTCAATAAGAAATCTGTGGAAATCACACTCTCTTACTAGTTGCAGCTTTGTTGACTTTCTAATTTTCTTCCAGGACTTGACAGCACCAGAATCAATATCAACTAAAGCTACATCCAATTACTCATCTCCCCTGGCTCTTCAAAGTGGTAAATAATTCAATTAATATGGGGAATGTAAGTCCAGAATACAGAAACAGCCATGAAGATCAGTTGAACACTGCAGTCAAAGATTTGGTGGCAGTTTCCTTACTTTAAACACAAAACTTTTCACAGTGACACAATTGTATTTACAAGTGGTGTCAAGAAATAAAAACATGTGGAAAGAATATAGAATCCTGTGCTTTGTTATTGGTAGTGATTGGGGATTTTTTCTTTTAGCTTCTACATTTTCTCATCTGTAAAGATAGACATAAATATGTATGAATAGAAAGCACAGAAAAAACCCTCTTTGCTTGTACAGCAATAGGGAAAAAATAGCTACTTGACTTTTTATTCCTACAATCAAAACAATAATTTTAGTATCTTCTTTTAACACTGTTGTTTCATTCATATGAAATGAATCATCACTGAGATTTTTTTTTCCTCCCCAAACCCCAAAGAATAATTTTCCTGGTAGAAATGTTTAATATTTTATTAGCAAAATATTCTCCACCAACCAGTTTCTTTGAGAGAATGTGAGAAGGCATTAGAGGAGCCATGGCAACAAAATCTGGTTGCTGCATGAAATATTTATCAGTCTTTCTGCTTTTGAGTGATCAAGGTTAAAAGATACCAGAGGAGAATAACCCGAATCCTAGTAATCCAAAACAATTGAGCATCCTGTGATAAAATCCTTGTCTCAGCAAATCAGAGGGCCAAACAGGACAACGCAGTAAATTTTCAATACATTCAGCGAGTAGCTTATTTTTCTTGATTAAAATATACCAGCTAGATGGGGACAGCAGTAAGAAATGGTCTATTCAGTCATAACAAAATCTGTCCAAAACTACCTAGCTACAAAGCTTTTCTGAAAAAGGCTTACTTAAGCTAGGGTTGTTGGTTTAACTGTTTTTATTGATGCAACATAACCAGATGGGGTCATATTACATGTTAAACCATAACTATTCCTACAACACACTAAGCAAAATTAAGATCAGAGTTTAACTCAGTTTCTTTCACATTCCAGTCCATTTAATCCAGATTGAGCATTTCTTCTGTCCCCAATCAGCCCTTTCAGGTCCAAATATCAAAAATACACCAATCAAGGTGTCCCGAATGGATTTTCATCAATTAGCCTTGACTTCAACTACAAGGCTACAGTAAAGGACTGAAGCCGGATGATCTGAAGTTCTTTTCTGTGCACCCAAATTCATCACACCCCCTACTCTGGGACTGCACACTGTATTGCAATGGCATTACACCAAGTGGACCAAGGAGAATGAAGCTCTTGCTTCTCCATTTATAAGCAGATCTTTTGCATTTCAGGTTAGAAATAAACCTATTTGCAAGCCCCGCACTTCCATTCGTAAAAGCAAACACGCGAATCCCCCCCCCCCCACAACCTTCCTCCACGTCGATCCAAGCTTCACCCAGGAGTTTCTATCCCACTCCCTCGCTTGCAAAGACTAACGTCTGCAAAAAACCCGGTCCCTGACGCACAAGGCTCCCCATCGCCCCCAGCCCTCCTCCCTCGCAGCCCAGCAGCTGCCGGTGCACAGCATCAGCCACAGCACGGCCGAGTTAAGGATGCCGGGCGGGGCCATTCAGGCAGCAGAGGCGGCTGCTCCCGGAGACCCTTCACACGGACCCCCGACCGGCTGCTCCCCAAAAAGCGCTGAAGAAAACAACGCGCACCATCCTCGTGGGAAACACTAGCCGGAGAATAGCCCGAAGCCAGCCACGCCTCCTCCGCCACGCCACGCCTCCCCTCCCCTCCCCGGAGGCATAGAGCACGAAGGCCTAGAACGACGCTCTCCAGCATGGCGCCGCGCGCGGTCCTGCGCGCGCGCGCAAGAGGCCAGGCGGCGGCGCGCGTGCGCACTAGGTGGTGGGGTGGGAAAGCACGGTCTTTTCTGAAGGGACGGTGACCGGGGATCTCGCAGCCCGCCCCGGCCGTCATGTTCCGCTACCGTCTGGCCGCGCGAGCGGCTCAAGGGCTGGGCCGAAGGTCGTGTTTCGTGGCGGGGCCAGGTGAGAGGAACTTTGCTGGGAGGAGGGGGGGCGGGTGGGACGGAGGGATGCCACCCCCTGAGGAATCCAGTGGCCGCGAGTTCCGCAGGATCCGCTGAACGGCTTTAAGGGCTGCCTGTCCTCTCGACGCCCCAAGGTCGTGCGAAAGGCGCCGGGCGGAAGTGGGTGCCGGTCCGCCTAGGGCAGCTTTTGCTCGAGGGTTCCTTCCCGGGGAGAAAAGCAGGTGGGGAGGGGGGAGTTTGCTTTGGGCCTGGGGCGAGGGTCTCCGCAGATAAAGGGGGGAGGATAATTGATCAGCCCTGGAGGGCGCCAGGTTGGAGGAGCCTCCTTGCACAACCTGGTTTTTTTTGGGGGGGGGGTTATTATTTTATTATTATTATTATCATCTTGATCTGGCTTTGCCCTGAAGCTGGGGGTGTTGCTAGGTCGGCCAGGCTGAAATATCATGGCTAAATTTCTATGGAGGTTGTCAATCATCCAGGTTGTCAATCATCCAGGTTGTCAGGCTTTCCCAAAAAGGTGCTTTTCCAAAAGGCAACCGGACTTTCTTTGGGTTTCTTTTTCCCTTTGAAAACGTTTCTACTTCTCCTCCCAAGAAGCTTCTTCAGCTCTGTGAAGTTCTAGTTCAGAGGTCTTCAAACTTGGCAACTTTAAGACTGGTGGACTTCAATTCCCAGAATTCTCCAGCCAGCTATGCTGGCTGGAGAATTCTGGGAATTGAAGTCCACCAGTCTTAAAGTTGCCAAGTTTGGGGATCCCTGTTCTAAGTTGAACTAAAGAAGCTTCTTGGAGGAGAAGCAGAAATGTTTTCAAAGAAGGGGGGGGACCCCCAAAGAAAGACCATTTGCCTTTTAGAAAAGCACTTTTGGGACAGAAATCTGTGTTTTTATAAAAACAACAACAACAACAAAACTTCCAGTCTTGTCTTTCTTTGCAAAATGCCACTTTTCCATTCCAGAGAAACCCAAATTTCTTCCAAAGTTTCAGAACAGGGTTTGTAAAGAGACGATGAAGCTGCCTGTTGTTGCGGTTTGGGGTTGTTGTTTTTTTTTTGGAAACTTAGCTTATTCCTCAAAAGACCTTCATTGGTATTTGTGAGTTGTATACAGGCGGTCCTCGACTTAACAACAGTTCATTTAGTGACCAAAGTCACAACGGCACTGAAGAAAAGGGACTGAGGACCGTTTTCCACACTTAACGACCGTTGCAGCATCCNGTATATTGTCTGTACTGTTTGTTGCAAGGAGGCAAATTGCTGGGAGGCAGAGGCAGATATTTTTCCCTTTGTTTTCCTCCCCAAAATCTAGGTGCATCTTATACATCGGAGCGTCTTATACTCCAAAAAATATGGTCATGACCCCATTTAGTGACATTCAAAGTTACAATGACACTGGAAAAAGTCAACATATGATCATTTTTCACACAACCACGACGACCTCCCCAGGATCAAGTCATCCAAATTTGGACCGTTTTTCACACTCAAATGACCCTTTCAACATCCCCAGGGTCACATGATTGACATTCAGATGCTTGGCAACCGACTCATATTTATGAAGGTTGCGGTGTCCCGGGGTGATGTGATCCCCTTTTGCGACCTCCTGACAAGGAAAGACAACGGGGAGGCCATATTCACTTCCTCTTGTTACTAATTGAACAAACTGCAGCGATTCACTTAAAAACCTTGGCAAGAAAAGTTGCACAATGAGGCCTAACCTCAGCCGTTTCGCTTCGCAACGTCTATTTTGGGCTGAGTTGTTGTAAGTCGAGGACTGCCTCAGTAGCTGTGGGAAGGGCAAGTTTGAAAGCCTTCATCCAGGACTCCACAGAAAAGACACGGCTGCATCTCGAGACATTTCACGGGGTGGGGTGGGGTGGTGGAGAATCACGGCAGTTCTTCACCAAGTCCTTCTTTTCCTCCCTTTAACTCTCCTTCCTTCCTCTCTCCTCCTCCCTGCAGCGTGTACTTTCAGCCACCCTCTTTCTACGTATCCCCGCGTGACCTGATGTTTGTTGAGAATGGTGGAATCGCTGTCCTGAGCGGAAGGAAGGTGAGTTGAACCAGGGCCAGAAGTGCTAACTCCAGCTGCGTTGGGTTTGTAACTGATTTTTACTCTGCCCTGTTGATTTTTCTTTCTGCCTGCAAGGGCAGCCAGAACATTCCAAGGGTACCATAAATAAAAACACCAATACTTTCTGGCCATCCCTAGCAACATTACTCTTGTAGGACGGTTGTTCTGATTGGGTGAAAAGGAGCACAAATGGTACAAACCATTTGTACCATTTGTTGAACAAGCCATGGTGGCCCAGCACTGAACCATGAACTATTCTGTATAAATCGCAGGAGATGGGTGTTCTGACCCAGCTCCTCAAACACGACAAGCCCTCTGAGGTGAACACAAAAGATTCCTTTATTAGGAATGCCCGGCAAAAAGTTTATCTCGCATGTTAACAATAGTTGTCCATCCCCTGCCTTATTATCCCCAAAGCTAAGATGTAGCTTTGCTAGCAGCGGTGGCTCTTCCATCCCAAGGACCGGCCCATAGAATTCCACTGCTCTCCTCTCCTCTGCCTTCTGCTCATCCACGTGTCAGGCACTGGACCCAGCTGTTCCTGATCAGCTACCTCCAGACCTGGGGGTTGTTGACTCTCCATCTGAGGGCTGACAAACAGCCCAGGTTCTGCCTCTGTTTCTTGTCTCTGTGTGTGTGTGTGTGTGTCTGTCTGTCTGTCTGTCTCTGTCTGTCTGTCTCTGTCTGTCTG